GATGGGCAAAACATATGAAAGAATCACAAGCTGCACTTCATACGACAACATACCAACAGAAGCAAGAGGAAGGCACATCCTTCCTCTACCCCAGCTCAGCTGTTGATCCTATGAAGCATTCTGACTTCTTGCTTGACTGGGATTAATGATCAGAGCCTTTGATGATAACAGGAAGAAAAAAGCAGAAAAGAGAAAAAAACGCTTAGGCAGAGATCCACTGTTTTAACAGTTTCTCTTTGAACTTAGAAGACAGCAGTTTAGAAGTGACTCAGTCTCCAGCATTCCCTGTTGTAAAATAGCATTTTGAATTACCTTCAGTATACTGCTTAATCCTAATGAGATTGTGGACAGTTATTCTTGTATTTCCTGTATCAAGATATTATTATTTAATAGATAGTTACTGATTTCTTCTTTCCTATCATTAGCACTGTACTAACTTATATATCAGAAATAGCCACTATACCTCCTCTTAGCACCTTACAATGTATATATACCAAGAAAACCAGGTCTGAACCAAAATTCTGTATCCAAACACTTCGTGAAATTAGTATCCATAAATCAACATTAATGACTACAAACACTTTTTTTTAGAAGTAAAGTTCAACCATTTTTACTTATAGCTTTCACTACACTGAGAGCTCAGTGCAGAGAATAAGGTTACTAAGATTATAAGAAATTGGTAGGAAGACTACAAACAGAATTCCATACAAGTTATATTGAACTGTACAGTCCTACCTGCAGGATTCTTTGCAGGCCTGATCTGATGTGATCTGATCATCTGTAGAGCTGATAGTTATTTCTCCGATGCAAGAATAAGTAATTGAGATTATAAGATGACCGTATTTTCTTCATTAGCCAGTTTTTTCTTCATTATCTTGCTGTGAAGAGTTTTTGAGGGCAAGCAGGACTTAATAATATAAGGATATAATTATTCCATGGGACATTTGAGTGTTCAGTTTGGGGCAATTTAGAATACAGTTATGTTTCTCTAAGCTGGCTCTCAATTCTTGTCAAGTTGTTCTGAAAGAAAAGACTGTATCCATACAGAAGCATAGGCAACTGAAGGACCAGGAGCACCTAGCTTTTTCAGATTGTGCTTCATGTGTTTAACCACAAGGTTGGCCAGCAATTATCGACTCACATGATCTTGTTTCTATCTTTATTCTTGCCAGGTCACTCTTTCAAATAAGTTTGATGCTCTTCCATGCTCAGAAGTGGAAACTGAAAGTTGCCCATTAGAGTACAGACTTATATAAAACAATATTGAAAATTTCTCTGCACTTTTTGAAGGAGCTTATTCACCACAAGGAAGAATATTTCAGCTTTCCTGGCCTGGAATAATATTATTTGCCTACCATTATTTTCTGAAGCTGGAGTGTTAAGTAACAAAAAGGAAAAAGGATGGCTAAGTAGTATAAAAAGTACAAGATGACAAGGTAAAGAGAAACCATTTTCAATAGAGCTCATTTATAGCAAAGAGAAACAATTTAAGGTGAAAGACTCCAAGTGTTTGCAAGTCAGGTTTATACTGGCAAAATCTGTTCTGCAAACATTGCAAAACGTGGCTGCTGGATTCTAGTTTACTTTTAAATCTACACCAAGTGTGGTTTCAGTGGCTGTATACATTTTACGGTGTGCAAGCATAAGTTTGTGCTTCTTGAGTTTACCATGTAATGGAATGGCAGGCTGGTCCTGCAGACACTTCACAAATTTAACTTTACAGTATTCCTGATTTCTTTGGAATATAAGATGAGATGAGATGAAAGTCTGTACTCAAGTACACACTACAGCACAGGTATGAAACCTCTGAGTGTAAAACTGCGTCTGTCGGAATGCACAAGAAGTGAAAGCTAATATGCTAAACTAATGGGCATATTAGCATATGTTTTTCCAGTATCCAAAACCAAGTAAGCCAAGGCTACTGTGGCTGCCAATGAGAATTCACAATACATCCAGAAGGAAATAAATCTACAACAGGATATTTTCCAGTTTCTTAAAGAAAACTCAAGAAATAGGAATGTACTTCTAAGGACTAAAAACAATAATAGAATAGAAATAGAATATCTCTGAAATGCAGTATAAGAAATAATAATTAAAGACCCTGAGATGGCAGAACTCCTATGTAAATAGTTTGTGATTTCTTTAGGAAGGAAGTAGAACTAAAGATATACACAGACAAAATTCAAGGAAGAAGATGAAATGCTCAGAGGGAAAATCTGCAGTAGGAAAATGCTAAATATTTATTTACCTAACTGTAGTCATTTCAGATCTTTATCATTAGGTGAGATTCCTAAAGGATTATGAGTTTCATTTAATACTTATTTGAGTGGCTTTTTGTCAGTGAAACTGGTAGGTGTTGAATTCACTACCTGAAAATTACATGATTAAAAAGGAAGCACAGAACATGAATCAGGGAAATGCATAATACTGTTCTACTCTTCGAAATAAAAGGAGAAAATGAGCTAAATAATGAGCCTGAGCAGTTTGTCACTGTAGGAGCAGAGGCAGATGTTGACTTAAAAGTGTTGGCTCTTCATCTGGGAAGTGCATGAGCATATGGAAGCATTGAGCAGGATCGAGTACAGGGGTACAGCAGTGTATTTGATTCTGTGAAATTACAGCAAAAGGAGAGTCAATTTTTCATTCATTCTACTGACTTTTGCTTATCAGTATGTAAACATCTATAGCTGACAAAATGCTCACGTGCCCAGTTCTGGTAAAGCTATGAAATCATGCACTGAGAGTGTAATCTGGCTTCCTATATCACACACGATTGCATTTCACAGTTACTTGTGTATCAAGTTAATTATTTGGCTATAAATAAATAACAACTTGTGTTCCACTTGAGCACATTTTCCAGAAATGCATGACCTCAAGATACCAAGAAAAGAAGAATTCATTACTTTCCTTTGACAGTTTGTTCCAGCAGTTAATCCCCATCACTCTTAACTAATAGGTACTCTGTTCTAATTTGAGTTTATCTGGCTTTAACCTCTAGCCACTGGTTCATGTCATGCTTGTTTGCCTTGACTGAAGAGCCTTCATTGTACTGTTTTCTCTGTAATGCACTCACTCATTTTGGCCACCTCCTTGTAGTCTGAACAAGAGGAGCTCATTAGCACTTACTGGAGAAATAAGACCAGAATATCTTTTTAAGCTTTTTTTTTTTACTTTTTCCTGTTTTCTGTGTTAAGAATTCAGATATCAGATTTCTCCTATGTAGCTGTTGGTTGTTTTTTTTTGTTTGGTTGGTTTTTTTTCCACAGTGTACCCTTTCATTTCTTCTTTATGCACACAGTGACCACACACATTAGATTGGTTTTTATTTCTATTTTTTATTTACATTTTTAATTTTTTGCTGGATTGGACATCAGGCCTCTTGTTTTGCTGCTGTGTGGTATAAATGTTAGATCCTCTTTTTGAGTCACAGAATCCAGGAGTCAATCTACAGAACATCAACACAGCCTGCATTATCTGAAACTCTTTAAGCCTTGTGATTTTCCTGAATTTGTTAAAAATTGACATAAGAGACCAAAGATCTGTTCAGAGAATTGTAGCAGAACTCTAGGGTGCAAGAACATAAGTTTAAATCAGATTTTAACATTCCAGGTTTCAGAGCATTGTGCAACACCACCTAACCATTAACAAACTGAAAAATTCTTTACTCACAAGATCTGAGCAGATCAGACTCCTTCTCTCCAAATATTTAACCTCCAAAATACTTATGAATCTATTTAATTTTTCTTTATCTTCATAAACAATTCCTTAATCTCCTTTAGTAATTGACTTTGGGTTTCTTTTCCTAATAATGTGTTTAGAAAATTGTTACTTATTTTTCTTCTGCCTAGCTATGGATTTTTCCCTAAATTGTTCATCAATATAGTTATTGCTCACAATTTCTACTCCACATCAATATTTGTTTAATCCTTTTTCCACTTTATTATTGTTCTGATTTCTGATTATTTTTCCATTTCCTCGTCAGATAGTTTTTCATTTCACCACTGGATTCACTGCACTAGATTTTAAGTACAGCAGCTCTTTCTTTTCAGTTCAAGAGTTGTGATACTTTTCCACGTTTTATTGCAGCTAAAGAGCTCCCTGTTTTCATTCAGCTTTGTCCACCCTTTTCTTTGGCATGCCACTTGTAATAGCAATACAAAACAAGCTGTGTGATTTCAAAGTGTAGATAGGTGGAAGCGAAAAGATATGGAAAGCACTTTACAGTTTCAAAGTCCAGTGGCCAACTGCAGATAATAGTTATGGAGGAGAAAGTATTTAAAGGAAGACCTGGCAGGAAAAGATAGAGGACAGCGTGAGACAACACAGTAATGCTACCAGAAGTCCTCCTGACACGTATCCTTAGCTGTTCAGAACAGTTCAGCTGGAACATAGGAGCAGGAGACATTTCCATGCAGATTTAGCTGTTATTGTTCACGAATCATGTTTCTATGCAGATAATCTGGGAGAAGCAACTGGTTTTGTTCTAATTTTAATGCTTTGGATAGGAACTTCAGATGTCTTGACCTCTGGTTTCTTGAAATAGTATTCCTCCAGGGTGATCGTATCATTCAAAATCACTGAGCAGCTCCAAACAGCTGCCATCTTAAAAAAAAAATCAGAAAGACATCTCACACACTAAATATGAAACCTTTGCCCAAACCTCACCAGATTACTCAATGGCTCTAGTATTTTATCAGTGTCCTGCAATGCATCAATATACAGCACTTTTATATATATCCATCAAGTTACAGCAGTTTTATATACATTTTAAAAGAGGCAACAGAGAAGCCTTCCTCACTAAACAGTCTGCTTGTTTGAATTTTTCCTTTGAGATTTTGTATTTCATGGTCTCCACCCTCCTCCAGAATCTGAAAGCAGGCATTTTCTGTTTTATGCTGAAACTCAGGAGTCTTAAATATCTCTTCAGCTGCTTCCTAATATTTGTTCCACAGGAAGGGTGTTAGTTCACAACACAGTGTGCTTTGTTATATCTGCATCAGCAAAGCAGATAATCTCAGCCTCTCTTCATCTGGAAAAGGTGCAGAGGAAGAGCACTAGCAGACAGTTTGTGGTTAAGGATTACTGTGAAGTTCTCAGGGTACGAGACAACAGTCAGGTAAGCAGAAAAGGTCCTATACTATTCTATGTTCCTGTGCTGTCACTTTCTTCACAAAATGCTTGACTGTGTGTAAGCACTTTCTCTGAAGGTGTTGGCTCCCAGTGAGTCAATATTTCTCATAGAGAATGCAAGTCCTCTTAAATTCCATTATTATTCTTTTTTAGCACTTAGCATCTCATTGAAATGCATCTTTTGGGTATGTTAACATGCATTCAAGCAGCTGATAGCCCCTTCTCACAGAAGGAATGGCCCATCCCAGTTGTTTTGCCTGACATGCTTGGGCAGGCATTGTGTTGAAGGACACAGTGGGGCTTTTTGCTGAAAGTCGGATGCTCTTTGAAATTTGGCTACCTATATATTTTGCTTAAATTTCAATTTGATCGAAAGAGATCTTCTCCTTGCAGAGGGCATGCTTCTCTGAGTCTCTGTGCACTTTTGGATTTGGTAGATGCCACCTTGGGGTTCAGAGAAGCAGAAGGCATTTCCCAAATTGAAAGACATCATTTATAGTTCCTTGGGACTCTTTCTGGACTGTCCTACATTAGCAATAAATACAATGCATGTAGTAATAAAAATGATGGCAGTGGATCAAAAGTATCTGCGAAGCTTCTTCTGTGAGCATCCCATGAGCGCTCTCTCCTCTGCACTCACACTTCTTTTAGCAACTTTGTTCAGAACTGAGCTTTTGGCACAGTCATTGATACACAGCTTTGTCAAGTTGTAAATTATCAACTAAAAGTGTGGCAATACAAAATTAAAAGCTTGTTCATCACAGATCTTCTTTGTTAGTGTATGGCACTGAAGCAAACTGTGCTCTGACAGGAGCGCTTGTGCTTTTTCCGTGTCACGGGGGAAGTGAAATCCGTGCCAGGCAATGCCATGTATCAAGCCCAGGAAGTTGCAGGAATTAACAAGAATAACTTCTTTCATAGTTCAGATCCCAGAGACTTTACAAAATCCCTGCAGCATGGTGTTTAAATGAGGTACTGCAAGAGTGCCAAATAGAAGTGGGCCTGCTCCACTAATGAGGGCGCGTTGTGCCAGCTCTTTACAAAGAATTGTGTGTTTCCATCCACATCGAACCAGCTCTACGGATAGATGTGGAAGGAGAAGGCAGACAGACTTTGGCACAGTTCATTCGTTTCTACTCACCTTCATCTCATAGAGACTGTGGATCATGTTAGGTCTAATCCTGAAAAATACAAATGTTTTATGTGAGAATTGGATTGCCCCGGGGGGAAAAAACTACTATTCAGATTCTAACCACAGGCCCAAAACATAACATAATCTCAGATTACACTGTTGTTTAACAGCAATAATATTATTGACAGGAAAACTGTGACCTTCAGTAGGTTTGGAAGTTAAACAACTGATTGTGATAGTGATATTTTAGGACTACTGAAGTACTACTTCAGGGTATTTGTATGCAGATTCAGACTGCTGCAGTGTACTGAGAGCATCCATTTGGGGGTTTCCTGCTTATAAGACAGGAAATTTTTTTACCTCTAATAGCATTTTATTTTTCCTACTATTAGTCCTTTTCATAAGTGCTTTATCTGGTAATTTAATGAATCATTACATACATCTCTGTGTTTAAATTACATTCCCATACAACCAGCATCCATCAGTGTTGATGAGAATTCGACAGTGCGTGCTGTACCTTAGGAAGAGCTGGCATCTCGCATTCTCATTAGGAAAAATGTATCTAGAAATTATAAGTGCTTTTCTACAGCACATCTCCATATGACTTATTTGCTTCCTGGTTGTCTTCAAAAGCAGCTGAAAGCCTCTATGCACCTGTTTTTCCCTGGTACTTACATCAACTTCTGTATGAGAAAGGAGGGAATAAATGTTAAATTGAAGATATTTATTTTATTTATGATTGCAAGTATTCTTTGCTTGAAAAAGTTCCAGAGTCTTTCATCTTCCGTGCTAAGTGGAGAGACAAAGAAAGCATTCATAGACAGGGCACATGTCACATGGGGCAGTCTAATGGCATTAGAACAGTTCAGTGAAGCATTAATGAATTTACAGTGATGACAGCTCAACAGTGCTAGGGTTTAATCTACTCTGTGGTAAGTGGTTTTCAGAAGTACCCTCAAATACAAATAACCAGTCAGGACTTTTGTTCTTTTGTTTTCTGATAAACATAATCAGGTATTTTTCTTTTGAAGTAGTCAATTTCTTGCTTGCTGTGTACCTGATCTTTCCACAGCTCATGTCATACCTCAAACTGTTCTCAGCATGTTCAGATGAGACTTGAGCTATTCCAAGCGCCTACTATTTAAAATATTTCTTCTGTTCTGCCAATAGTTTACTGTACTCCATACCACTAGCCTCAGCAGCTTCTTGGAATTAAGATTCCTCACAAAAAAACCCTTGCACAGAAAAATGTGTTGTATGATCTTGTCTATAATGCCATACTTTTATTCCAGCTCTGTATTCACACAACTTTCTTTTCACCATCATACTTCCTTTCTGTCTCATATCCACGTGCCTATTCTTGTATTTGGATGAGGTGGACATGTAAGGTGTTAAATCAGATAACAGTGGTTTTCAGCAAGTTCAACAAGACCAAGTGTGAGGTCCTGCACTTTGGCCACAACAGCCCTATGCAATTGTACAGGCTTGGGGCAGAGCGGCTGGAAGACTTTGTAGAGGGAAAGGACCTAGGGGTGCTGGTCAGTTCTCAGCTAAACATGAGCCAGCAGTGTGCCCAGGTGACCAAGAAGGCCAACAGCATCCTGGCTTGTATCAGGAATAGCTTTGCCAGCAGGAGCAGGGAAGTAATTGTCCCCCTGTACTCAGTTCTGGCAAGACTGCACCCTGAGTACTGTTTTTTTGGGGCCCCTCACTGCAAGAAAGACACTGAGGCCCTGGAGCACTTCCAGAGAAGGGTAAAGAAGCTGTGAAGGGTCTGGAGCACAAGTCTGATGGGGAGCGGCAGAGGGAACTGGGATTGTTTAGTCTGGAGAAGAGGAGGCTCAGGGGAGACCTTATCACTCTCTACAACCCCCTGAAAGGAGGTTGTGATGAGGTGGGGATTGGTCTCTTCTCCCACATAACTAGTGATAGAGCAAGAGCTAATGGCCTCAAGCTGCAACAGAGGGGGTTCAGTTTGGATACTGTGAACCATTTATTCTCAGTAAGAGTGGTGAGGCACTGGAACGGGCAGCACAGGGATGTGGTGGAGTCACCATCCATGGAGGTGTTCAAAAAACATGGATTTGGTACCAACAGACATAGTTTAGTGGCGGGTGGATGGTTGGACTAGATAATCTTAGAGGTCTTTTCCAACCTTGATGATTCTATCATTCTATAATTCATGAGTCCAGGACAAGATGTGAGTGCTGGCTGTTTACAAGAGATCTTATCCTGCCTCACTGTCATTGCAAAGGCTGTCATTGATTTAAATGAGCATGGTGACACAGCAATTTCTGCTGTACATTTCCAAAATATGAGAAAGGAATGTGTTGGCCTAGAGAACAGAAATCTGTGTGGAAGCCTCTCCCCCAAGAATGGTCATTCATTAGTATCTACAGATCTATCCAGAAATTAGTAATTTCGTGTAGAGGCTCCCTCATAAGGAGCACTGTGAGTTCTGCTCTTGAAGCAAAGCATAGTACTTCCAGTATTTCATAAATGCCTGTGTTCTTCAATACATCCCATGACATTTCTGCGAAGAAATAGGTGTTCTTCCAAATGCTGTAAAGATAAATACTCTAAATCACATTCTCCCTTCTAAGAAAGACAAGTAACTATATTGGAAACAGGCAAGGAACATAAAGGAGAGAAAAACTGTCTGTCTCTGTAAGTTTTCTGGGATCTGCCAAATCTCACTGAAGCTGGACTTCAATTATTGAGATGAAGGCGTGCTGGAGTGGAAAAGATGACAATCAGAAGCGGAGATTTACTGCAGTCTGTGTCGTTCTTGCAGTGTGGGTAAATACAATTAAGCTAGCCTTGCATTAGTTTTCTCCAGTACTAATACCAGAGAAAATAAGCAGTGCAGGGTACAGTGCAGACTAGCTAATTGCATAAATACTCAGAGATTTGGAGAGATTGGTGCACAGAGCACAGCAAAAGCCTTTGCGATCAGTACCCAAGTCAGCAAGATCAAAGTAACATTCATAGCAGCAAGAGTTCGTTAACACATCAGTAAGATCTATAATTGCACTCCAAATGCACTTATAGCAGCTTTGTTACTCAAAGAAAATGTGCTCTTGGGACACTGGCATGAGACAAACCACAAAAGCAAGGCAGAAGTGCATCCACATCCATGTGCTCCCCAGACTGCTTGCCGATTGATTTCAGTGGGACTTCTCATGTCAGCAGAGATTGTGGGGAGAAGACAAATCTTTCCTTTTTCCATCAGAAATGCTTTGAAAATCAACAATAGAAAGAAAAAAAATCATATAGGATTGATTGCCTTCATTAGCTTCATTTCTTCATTTCAGTAATATTATTAGCTATAAATCACAGAAGCACAGTTTCATATATTCTTATTAATATCACAACTTCCTCATCCCCTTATTGCTTATCAGATTCATTCATTGTATGCTGGAAATCCCAATAAAATTACCTAACTGGAGACCTTATGGCACAGCTGTATCTTTCCATATTCCCTGCTTCTGTTTGTTTGTTTTTATCTTACTGTCTTTTGCTAATTCTTTTGTTGTCAAATTGCATTGCAGAGTATGGAATGCTTTTCTGCTCCTTACCATGTCTCATACATTAAAAATGCATTAGGGAGGATATCAACTACCTCAATTTCCTTTAAAATGTTTTCTTTCCCTCATAGCCACTGAAAATAAAACTCATGAATGCATTAATTCTAAACAGAGTAGGTAATGTTTTCTCATTTAATAAAAATGCAGGCCAAAACTTACTATTGAAGTATGATGTAAAAATTAAAAGAATAGTTTGCTTTGTGCGCTTGATATTCAAAATAATTCACTGATGATAATAATCATAATAATAATAGGCAGCTGAAGTAAAAATGAAATGACCTTGCCTATTTCAAACCTGGGAAGAAAATGAGTTTTCCTGGACAACCGAAAACAGCTTTCAGAAACAGTTTGTCTCTGTGGAATTGGTGCAGATGTCATGCTGTTACATATTCCTTCTGTTCAGTACCTAGCACACTGGGGGAGATAATTTTTTCACATGTATTCCCAGCCCTGCTTTATTCCCTTCGAGCTTTGCAGGATCAGCACAAAAGGTCTAGAAAGTAGGCTGGAAAAATCAGCATCAGGTTCTCCTTGAGAGAAGGGCTCCTGAACTGCTGCAGTGCCAGCAAAACCAGCTGCCTGCCACTAGCAGCTCATTTCTCCTCTCCAGTGCTCTGGACCAAGGTTATGGTCTCGCCTGTGTACCTCACAGTAGGGCAGCCTAGCCCTTCAGGTGTGCAGCTTGTGAGAAGTGTCAAAACATCTGCTATCTGCCTCAGAATCAGGTGATAAAAGACCTTTGATATCTTTCTGTTTGGATATCAGGAGCCTGTGTGCACCTGCAACCTGAAGACTTGCATGGGAATTCTTGATAACTTATTAACAATAGGAGACTGTGATTAGGTATATTACTATAACATGGGGCTTTATTCAGAGGCAGCTCTTTATAAAAATTACATAAGCAATGATTCCACAGAATGGTTGATGTTGGAAAGGACCTCTGGAAGTCACCTGGTCCAATTCCTCCTGAAGCAAGGACACCCAGAGCAGGGTGCCCAGGCCCATGTCCAGGCAGCTTATGAAGATTTCCGAGGAGGAAACTATAACGTCTCTGGGTAAACTGTGCCAGTGCTCCATCACCCACACAACAGAGAAGTGCTACCTTGTATTCAGAGGTAAACTCCCATGTTTCAGTTTGTCCCCATTGCCTCTTGTCCTGGTGCTGTGCACCACCAAAAACAGCGTGGCTCCATCATCTTCACACCCTGCCTTCAGGCATTTATAGGTATTGCTGATTTCCCATGGATCTTCCTCTGGAGCAGGCCGAGCAGTACCAGCTCTCAGCCACTCCTCACAGCAGAGGCTCTCCAGTTCTTTCATCACCTTCATGGCCCTTCACTAGACACTGTCCAGATCTCTCATGTACTGGCGACCCCAGAAGTGGACACAGTGCTCCACATGCTCACTAGTACTGAGGGGAAGGATAATTTCCCTCAGCCTTCTAGAAATACTCCTCTTAGTGTAACCAGGAGGCTGTTGGCCTTCTCTGTTGCATATGTGTATTTGTGGGTCATGTTCAACTTTTTGGTGTAGTAGCATTTTGTCTTTCACAAGGTCCATGTGAGTAATTGAGATGTTAAACAACATCATCCTCACTGTTCATACCAGTGCATATCTGTGGTGAGTGGCCACTTTGTTATGTGGTCAGAATCCTTTCAAACCAGCAATTAGGCTAATTTTCAGTCCAAGTCTGTATTTAATCAATTTGACAGTGTCAAAAACCTTACTAAAGATAAACATTCACTGCTTTCCCCTCATGCACCAGACTAGCCCTTTCTTCATAGGCAGCTACCGGCTTTGTCAAGAATGATTTTTCCTTCCCAGACCTGTGCTGACTACTCCTACTCTTTGCTTTTCATTATTTTTGCAAATGATACCCAGGATTTTTTCCTCTATTCCCTCTCAGAGACTGAGATGAGGCTGACTGGCCTTCCAACTTGAAGAAAGGAGCAACATTTGCTTTTTTCAGTCCTCAGGAACCTTCATACTGTATTGATGTTTCAGGGATTGTTGAGTGGCCTCGTGGTGACTACAACCAGATCTCTCAGTACTTACGGTTGCATTCCATAATGTCACACAGACGTCACTGTGTGTGCAGGTTTTTAAAGTCTTCCCTGACCTGATCCTCCAACAATGCTAACTTTTCCTTGTTTCAGATGTTTCTGTGAGTCAGAAACCTGGGATTCCTGAAAGTTGGTCTTACCATTAAAAGACAAAGAGAAAAGGGTACTGAGTAGACTGGCCTTTGCCATATTCTCTGTCACCAGGTGCCCTGCACCGTTCAGCAGCAACTAGAAACAGCAGTTTCTAGTCTCTCCTTTGTTGCTGACATGTCCTTAGAAATCTCTAACTGCCTTTCACATCTTCTCCAGATTATACTCTGGATGGGCTTTGGCTTTCCTCACCTACTCCCTGCATGATTAGGCAGTGTCTATTCCCATATCACCTGACCCTATCTCCACCTCATGAATATTTATGTCATTGAGTTTTGCCAGGAGCTTCTTGCTTATTCATGCAGGCCTCCTGCCTCGTCTCCTTGACTTCTTACACGTGGGAATGGACCAGTCTTGAGTTTGGAGGAGGCAGTCCTTGAAAATCAGCCAGCTCTCCTGGACTCCTCCTCTCTCCAAGATGATATCCCATGGGATTGCAACTGCCCTTCTGTGTTGTCCCTCCTGCAGATATCAGCATTGTCAGAGTCTTCCATGAGGACCAGGGCCAGTAAACAAGACATTTTTTCCAGTCGTCCAGAAGAGGCCTGATAATCTGCTGCTTCTTTTTTATCACACAGTCCTCAGCAGATACCCACACCAATATCACCCGCGGTGGTCTGCCAGCCAGCCCAGACCCATACGCTCTCATCTGGGTCATGGCAGAGCTCCATGCATCCCTGCTTCTCTCTAATACAGGACAACTGTCCCTGCTCGTCATCCCAGCCTATCCTTCCCAAAAAGCCTGTACAAAGCCACTGCAGCACTCTAGTCATGTGAGTGTGATTTGCCATTACTTTGAGATTTCTAAAAATCCACGCTTCATCCACTGAAGAATTCGAAGGTGAGTGGTTTTCTTTTTTCATTTCCCTTTCAAACTGCACTGGCAATGAACAGAAAATCCATTTCTCAGTACCATTGCAAAATGCATGTGTTATGGTCAAATATGTCCTGTGGTGCTGTTAGTTTTGCAACAAAGAAATGTTTCTATCAGGTGGTTCTTATCAACAAAATTAAATAGAAATGATAAATGGATTACTAATATTTTTCTGTGAGCCAGTTTTTAAATGGGTCACATTGTTCTTCTCTTTACTAGCAACCTAGAATAGAAATTATTATATCAACAGTGGTTTTCACATAACAGAACACTATCTGAAATTGAGTTTATGTAATGTTTTTTCCTTGAAAATTCAGGCTATAGTAGTATAGTTATTGAAAATTATCATCATTTACTTTTTATTTGCTATTTAAGAGCAATATTCTTTACAGTAAAAATTGCAGTTGGAGTTCTGACTAAAGAAAACGATCCCTTGGTACAGACAATAAGGAAAATGAATGCTTATGTTGACAGCACAGCATTATCAAGGTTTCTTTTCCCTCTGTGGGCCAAATTTTCTGCTAGCATATTTGATATAATTCTATAGGCTTCAGTGGGACTGCACCAATTTATGTAATGGAGAATACAGGACCCTTTTTTTATTATTATTTAGATTGAACTAAGTAAAAAATAAGGATGGAATCTAAGTAAAAGCCTGGCCAGCATTTTCTTTTATAAATCTTAGATTTATGAGGCTATTTCTGAAAATCAAACTATGGTTCATTTCTCCCTGGAGTATCCTGCAGATGTGCAGCTGCTCTTCAGCATCAAGGAAAATATGAGCCTCACGCAGCCAGGCACAGATGGCCCACCCAATGCACGCAGGGCCAGCCAAGTGCCACCAGCACCTCAGAAGGGGTGGAATGCTGAAGAAAATGGAAATTCAGATTGCAGTCGTTCAGTACAGCTCAGATTTGTGTGTCACCCCAGTACTGGTAAAGACAGTCTCACAGTGCCGCGTGCAGCTGCAGAGGACTGCTGTTCTGAAAACAGATTTCCTTAGTCTTATGAAGCCAGCTTCCACTCCTGCTTAGCTCTCTGTTCAGGATCAGGGGGCATTCAAGGGTTCTGCTTCAGTGGCTTGCATTAAAATAGGGTTAGGATGGTCAAAATCATTTGCAACCTTTAAGTACACAGTAAAGGAAAATAAAGAGGTTTTTCCACCACCTGCTGATTGGAAACTAAGTGCAGGAGAGAACAGAGTATAATACAAGGTACCAAATATGCCTCGTGCTGTGCACTGAACTCTTCAGGGATTTCCTCAGAGAGGTGAACTTGCACAGAGATCAGTGAAAACCTGCACCTTCAATCTGTTTCCTATTAAAAAAAATACCTCTGAGTCTCTCCAGTGTGCAAGTCAGAGCTATCTGAACGTCACGGGGAAATGAAGAGCTGAAAGGCTAAGAGTCTCATGCTTCTTTTTCTTTTTATATACTTTGTATTCCCAGAGATCCTATGGGAAGCAGAGGGCTTCAGCACAGGGACAGCTGGAAAGATTCAGGGCTTTTAAATTAGTAGCTTGTTTAAATCCCAAGGCAAAGCAGTTGTGCTAAATTAATCTCTGAAGCCTCACGTGAAATCTAGAGCCCCTGAGTGGTGCAGATATTTTGAGGTGATCTAATTGTGCTTGGAGAGAAGGGAGAGATGGGCACAAGCAATGCTGTGCTCTGCGCTGCAGTTGGCTCAGCACACAACTCATTGCAAAAAGCTGGCATGGGCAACACAGGGATCAAATATATCCATGCAGCTATGGAAATTAGTTGCTGCACTCTCCATAGGATAGCAGGCTTGAAAAGCATACTAGGAAACTGAGGACAATGTGCACAGCAATTTCAAGAGCTCCTGGAAGTGTCGTAGGGATGGAAAAGAGCAGGAAAGGTTGCTGCTGCCAATGAATAGCTTGTCTTGTATGGCAGCTGCCTCTCATGGAAGTTTTTTCAGTTTTTAAGTGGGAATCTGAGGCACTCTAAATAGTTTCATTTTATGACAGTCAGGGTCCATTCACAGGGAAGAAGGGCAAGAGCCCTTTCGCAGGCTAAGGCTGGGCAGCAGCAAGCACAAGCATCATTGGGGTAATACAGCATCGCTTCATGCATCTGATGCTGAAGAACAATGTAGGGGAGGAGTACTGCATCTGTCTTCATCCCCTGCCAACCTAATGCAAGCACTAAGAGTGTGAATTCTCAGGGTATTGTCAATTTAATGACTGTAAGAAAACAAGAAAGGAGTAGAGTAGACTTCCAACTTGCTGCTGGCAAATGTGAGTATTGCAATATGTTGGTATATTCACCTTCACCGGGTGAATGGCACTGATACACCAGGGAGGACTTATTCCTAAGATTACACTTCTGTTTTTATCTATTTGCATAAATGAAGGAAACATTTTTAAGCACCATGCTTAATCCAGAAAAGTAAATGAATAAGCATTTTGTTTGAGACTCCTTCAAGATGAGATTGATCATTGTCCCATTGCCACAGGTCAACTTTGGCCATGGAAAAGTCCAGATAATCTTCAGCTGCATTTCCTAAACAATTAACAGGATGGACAAAGCAAAGATAACAATGCACACTTTATTTTCCAAAAGCAGTTGTCAGAAGGAAATGAATACCAAGTGAGTTAACTCATTAGAGCATGAGAGCACAAGAGCACACTTGGAAATGCAAAACAGATTGTCTGGAATGATTTCAATCTAGCACAAGGTTGATACCCTTGTTGAGGCATGCCAGTATTGTAGTGCTTCAGTTTCAGAAGTGTTCATGGGTGCACATTCTGGGTTTTGAGCCTTGAAGTAATTAATTACATGACTAAAACACCACATATAAGAGCTACATACATGTGTATTAACCGCAAGGGCTACGTCCACATGCATGTACACACATACAAACACCACACACGTTGACATAACAGCACTTTACAATACGAAAAGAAAATGCAATTTCCTTGCTGATGTTAACTGACAAAAGCAACAGGCATGTTGTATTCAAGTTAGATACATTCTGTCTTTAAGAAGCTGCGTCTGTATCCAGTGTAAAAACACGGCAGTCATCTGAAGGCAACAAGGTTCCTCTCGTGCCTTGTTTGTAGAATCATAGAATGGTTTGGGTTGGAAGAGACCTTTAAGATCACCTAGTTCCAGCCACCTGCTATAGGAAGGAACACCTCCTCTAGACCACGTTGCTCACAGCTCCATCCAGCCTGGCCTTGAATACTTCCAGGAAGGGGGCATCCACAACCTCAACTGGGCAACCCGCTCTTGTGTCTCACCACCCTTGCTGTAAAGAATTTCTTCTTGATATCTAGTCTAAATCTACTTTCTTCCAGTTTAAAGCCATTTCCCTTTGTCCTGTTGCCATGTGCCCAAGTCCCTCCCCAGCCTTCCAGTAGGCTCCTTTCAGGTACTGAAAAGCTGCTAAAAGGTCCCCCAGGAGCCTTCTCTTCTCCAGGCTGAAGAGCCACAACTCTCTGTCTATCATATGACCAAGAGCAGACTTCTCAGAAATTGGATTTTAACATTTGTCAACCGCAAGCTCTCATCAAAGCCTACTTTCCCCTAGTAAACTTCCACCTATCTCTCTTTCAAAGTTAAAGAATTGTACTTCTGTGAAGACTGTGGAACTTTATTTAGCATACCAGATACCACTGCAGCACTGCTAAAGTAATACAGATATTTATAGGTGTCATTAATAGGGTATACTTAAGAGCTTTGCTTCTTTTTTATCCATAATGGGGCAATAAGCTACAATTAAAGGACTAAGGGTCTATACTACAGAAACATTTCCCGTCACATGTGTAACACAACATATACTATGCAGAGACAGCAGGCAGCCAAAGCAGTTCAGGGTATTTCTTCACACAGATGGCAAAGGTGCAATAATACTTCTCATAAACATACTAAACATAAGCAATTCAAGCAGCACTATGTAACATATGCTTGTCTGAGAGGAAGATGAAAAAGGCAGGAGGAAAGCTTAATTCATCCTCTGTACTGCCCATCATTTTTACCTCATTTACCTCATAGATAACACAACATGCATAGCAGGGGCTATGAAGCTTGCATATGTTGAGAAAGGGTGGTCTTCATCAGCACTATTTGCTGCACAGTGTGTGCTCTCAGATGGCTGAGGTGGAAGGTTGCTGCCACAGACTTCACAGCATCTCTGCCTGCATTCAGGCTATGCTCACTCTCAGTTGGCCGGAGTTATGAGGAGAAGTTAAATGTTTTCATGTGAAGCCTGTATTTATCCTGGTGGCACAAAAAGAAGAATCCAGTTAAAATCAAATTAGGTAGCTTCCTTCTTCAGGAGGAAATTGTTACTGCGCAATATGGACTAAAATAAAAGTCCATGAATCAGTGATCTAATTTCATTTCGCAAAGACATTTTACAGTATGTAGTGCCCAACACTATATAATGATGGTCATAATGAGAGCATGTGAAAATTTACAATGTATAACAATGGACAGTGTCTTTATCGAAATCTTGTTCATTTTCATGAGAACTGTGGTTATATGAACTGGCTAAGCACAAAGCAGACTTTTCTCATCTCAGAAATATCAGCTGTACTGGAAGGAGGTAAAAGAGCAGATCAGTTCAAGAGACTATGTCTGCACTTGTCCTGTCTGCAATATTCCGTATCTATCTTACATTGTGGGAGTTATGCAGATGACACTGCCATCTTAATCCTAAATTCACATATTTTACACATGTATTTTTTCATTGGAACATAATTATTTTATGAAATCAAGAAACATCAAATAAACACGGTAACAATTATCGGTGCTTTATTCCTGCTTTTGTTGGATCTCTGAGAGTCACTTGACAACCCAGATGAGGGCTACTCCTGCAATGTTTGAAGAACCAGTTCAGCCATGGGTTGATGTCAGCCATGGGTTGATGTCAGCCACGCTAATCAAAGCTCTTTCACTTGATAACTGCGTTCATATGTTGCACTGCACCACTGAGACATGTGTGGGCAAGCTCCACAGGACACATAGCCCATTTGACATCAGCTTTATTTTCTAGACAATTCATTTGAAGGTATTAACTCAAGCTCTGATGTCACTCTGACTTCTCAAAATCAGATTCACTCATTCATAAACCCAGATTTCCCCCTTCCTCATAAGAGGCACAGCACACTGCTTTGCCCATTTTGGAGCAGACAACTTGAAGCAAGTTTTCATCATGCTGTTCAGTTTCACATCACTGTAGCCTCACAAAGGAGAGCACAGAAGCAGGATGAACACACCTAGAGATCCTGCTTCATTTAACAAGAGCCTGAACCGTCCTGAACCCCAGCCCTCTGAGCAGCAGGCTGCGCACCGTGATCTGTGCAAGCGTGCATGCACAAGGAGGGAAGGAGAAGGTGTTGAAATCTGCTCTGAGCCAAAGCCAGGAATCCAGGATTCATGGGGCCAGGCAGACACTTACCCAAATTGGTTGTGTAATCTGCTGGGTAATCCACAGCCCTGTGAAGCAGAGGGCACTGAAATGAATTCCCCATCTTCTCCTCAGCTTTGTGTTTTAAATGGAGCTGAAGCTGCCATGCTCCATACTGGGTTTCTTACTGCCTAAGAATCAGGCAGCTCGGGCACCACAAACTGTTAATTTGTGTAAAAGCGGTACAGCCTTCTGGGATCATGACTTCAAAATATCCAGCTGCAGCAAAATGTGCCTTAAATCACATGCTGTAGCAGAACCTTATACACTTGAAGCTTTTACTAGCATATTTAAGGCCCCATAACAGTCTGGGTTATTACTCTTGGACATAGATGTTGCATATCTGTTGTGTTGTGGACGGCTTCGTGTTATTTTGGATCTCATCTTAGGCACCTATAACTAATCAAACCTCTGCTGTTAACTCCTGCAGTACCCTGGCCCTTCAGGTTTTCTACTGAGTTGTGCAGAGAGTTGCAGCTGTGATGTCATGTGGTCACAACTCTTCTTTTCCTTCAGTATTTGGCTTTATTGTGATAATGACCGTTCACCACAGGAGGTGTTGAAAATCACTTTTTTTAAGCTGTACTGGCCACTCCCCTATAACAGGATTTGCCACATCCACACTCACATACGCATGCAAACACAAATACACTTAAGCTTTTTTATTGCTCATTAAAAGGCTTTAGGCAAGCCCCCAGGCCACAGCATTTTGAAAATCAAAGATATAGGTGTTTGGTGGAGGCCATCTTGCAAATTCTTGTAGAAGAGATGTGCTATCCCAGTTCAAGGTGAGCTCCTTGCAACTTGCCAGCTCTGCTTACAGAGTCCAAATCATGCACATCCTCCTCCTTTCTTTTGTTCTCGCCTAAAGCAGCTCTCTGAGATCAACCTCATTCATGCAAACATCCCAAAGAGAAATGCTGGGTTTAGCTGACAGATGCATAAAGTCTCTGTTGTCATAGAACTCCGCAGTGTCTGTTCTGCACCAGATGTCAAAGAATGCAAATCTGCAGCTGGCTCTGGTGTTCTCCAAATTTCCTCCTTCACAGCTGTTGTTTTCCACATCCACGTACATGGAGCCAAATTTTCAGAAGCAGGAGCAGACCCCAGATCCTTATATTGATGTGAATACACGTTTGTTTATTTGCTTGGAAAGCGTCTGTTTGAGTTAAACAGCAGTGTGCTGGTGAGTGTATATTTGAGCATGCTCAGCCTCCAGTGTTGGAAGCTGCCTTGCTCTTCTTTCAAATGTAATCTCTTTCAAACAGGTGCTCTGGAACTGCTGTCTCTGAATTTCTCTTTGCAGTTAAATAGGACTCCCACTGTGCTGAGCCCTCTTGGGCACTGTGGAAATAAGAATCATAACCATAGTAATAAAAAACAAAAGATGTGTAATCGTGAGGAAGTATGGAGCAGCACTTCTTCAGTTTACTGTGGGGCCTTTGCTGGCCACCCCAGAAACCCCTCAGGAAGGGAAGCTGTAGCCTGGAGCTGTAATTACGGCTAAAATTTTATTCTTCCTTGTGTAAATATTACCTGCACAGCTTTTTAAATGTAGTCAGTGAGAGTCACTAAAGTTATATATCTGCAAGAACTGAACCGAGGTGAAATTTTTCTTTCTATTTAAACAGGGGAAAATACCTAAAATGGGGAGGTAAGGATGATAGCAGCACCCACATTTGTTCTCCTGGGCTTCCTTTAAATGAGTTTCGCCTCCAATGGCCTGAAGTGTTATTTAGATTTCATTTCCTTAAATAAAGACAGTATGCCTATAGAGGCCTTTCCTCCCCCCCACCTATGTAATGAGCTTCAAACCACTGAGTCCTCAGTTGGGGAAATAATGATTATATTATTATATATTTTTGTTTACGTGAACTTTGAATTTTCAGCCCAGTCACTAACCTATACTTGAACAAGTTTGTCCATCCTAGCATTGAGACACCCGACTGTGTTCAAAAGGGATGAGGTTTCACAGAATCACAGAATCACGGAGAGGCTGCAGCTGGCAGGGACCTCTGGGTCCATCCAGCCCAACGCCAAGAGCAGGGTGTGCAGGGCCATATCCAGACAGCTTGTAAAGGTCTCCAAGGAGGACACTCCACACCCTCTCTGGGCAGCCTGTGCCCATATAGAAGAAGCATTTACTGATGTTCAGAGAGAACCTCCTCTGTTCTATTTGGTGCCCGTTGCCTGTGGTACCCCATGAACAGAACCTGGCTCCATCACTTTTGGATCCTCTCTTTTTATGTGATGAGAGGAGAAGTACTCAAATCACAGGTATGAGTTTGAATGAAGTCCAGTTAGGACATTGAATATAAATACCTGATTTTTAAGGAAAGTATAGCACATACTCTCTGTACCAGTGCAGCAATGGTAATGAAAATGTTAAATGTTAAATGCATTTTTGGGCAGTCTAGTAGTATTTATTTGCTATTGTTATTACATGCATATCCATACTATCCAGTTTTCAACATAGACAATAGTATCAACTTAGAAAAGCAGTGATTTAAGATAAAGGAATAAGCGATATCTGCTGATTTTACAATAAGCAATGGCAGAATATTCACCTATCAGACGAGATGAAAGGAGGGAGAAGAGTTTAAAAAACTTTCTTTGAAGTGATGTGACCCGGCACAAATAGCCTTGGTGACATTGTAAGAGCAAACAGCTCCACCATTAACTACAGCTACTTCATGTCATTGAAGAAACCTGTCACAGGTTCAGCTCCATCTGCCCAAGCAAATGAGCTGGCACCTGGGGTGGTGGAGCTTGCATTTACTTCTGAGCTCCTGAAGTTAATCCTGGGTATTTTTGTAAGTATCACCAGGTTGTATGTACTTATATATTTGACTTCAAATGACATTCCTGTGATAATATCCTAATGAAGTGTTTTGTACAGTAATTAGAAATGTTTCTACTGAGTTACATTTTCAGGCTAGCAACTCTTTTCCTGAAAGAACAGAAGGGAATTACTGCTAAGGCAAATATAAATATTTCTGAAATTGATAAAGAAATACAAGTTCAGAGGTTTAAAAAGCTATCAAGGGATGACATTTAGAAATGAGATCTTGTAAAAGGAACGTTAAAAATATTGAACAAATATTGAAAAAATGATCAGTGCTGAAAAAGGTACAGAAGCCAGGCAGATTTTCAGATTGTCTGCACCACCAAAAACACACTGAATATGAGACTACAGGAAGTTGAGTCCCACGGTGTGAAAAGTCAGCAGGAAACAAAGTGCTAATTGTGCCCAAAGTAAAGCACAAGAGGTAATTTAAAGACCGACCTCTGGTTGTGTTTGGATTTTTTGGGGGGAAAGAGTCCTTCTAAACAAGCAGGGAGATAGTTATTCCATCTAAACTAACAGCAATGTCACCCATAAAAATCACTGGAAAGCAGTACTGGAAGTAAAGCAAAGCCTTTAATGCATAGGAAACAAATTAAGGACATCTGTGCAGAAAAAGCCTTCTGTCAAAGCCTGCCCCCTGCCACTCACACAGCGAACACTGCATCTGTGGGAAGGGAAATGCCTGTTTTCCTTCAGTGTTGCTCTCCAGGAGTAAACACATTGCTGGAGATCATCACCTCTGCTGACTCCCATGAGCCCCATACAGATGGATGACTTAGCCCCGCAGTGCTGCTCTGGGGAACAGGGCCACTGGGAACAGCCATCATTCATTCAATACATGCTGTATACAATTCCTTTGGATTAATTATGTGGTATGTCTGCTTTATGTTCATTATCACAGAGATTTATCTTAGAAGCAACGCCCTCTGCTTGGAAAAATAAATGCTTCTTCTTTGCTTCATTACCTAATAGCTGGAGGAGTGCATTATCCTGGGAAAACATTTTTTTCCACTTACTCGGCTTAAATATTTTATGACCATTTTCCTTTCTAGCTTTCACAATAAATACAACAAATACATGACAGACACAAGATGTGAAGTCGTCACCTATATGTATAATTTAGCATATACAATGAGTTCTCACCTATTTTCATTTCGATATTTTATAAATTGCACTATACTGCTTCCATTGGTTATTTTCATTTACTTTACCCTGTCAGTGCTTAGTCTGACTACAGTCAGCCTCTATCTCATATGGATTCCAGAGCAGATTTTGGGTGGTACAGCTTTTATAACTGTACTTTCTGCAAAGAGATTCCAGTGTTTGAAGAGGCTTTCAGTTACTACTCTTCTGTGAGGATTGCTGCAGTGACATCTCAACATAGTACCTCTGCTGCTAATAGCAGAAGATGGTAGAAGACTTTTTTTTTTACTATTAAATGGTACACACTGTGTAATTCTGCACATAAGAGTACAAACAGCTTGCACAGTCCAGGTACTCTAGCTACATCAGCTGAAAGCAAAGCGAGTCTAAAAGGCATCTTAGGAATGCACCAATTGAACATAACCCTGAAAACTCATTCCCACTGTCTTGTTTTGTTTTGCCTCTGTTTTCAGGAACACTGATGGAGGAATGATGGCAATGGGATCACCTGCGTGCATCAGCTGCACAGAAACACCCAGGTGTGTACAGGGAGATCAAACCAAGTCCTATGCACGTTTGATCTAATGCATGAGCAGGTTTTGCTCCCAATCCTGAACCACTTTGAACAGTGACCATACACTTTCTTTTTCACCTAATCTCTAGAAGAAGATCCCTGCTCAGCCAAGCTGGCCTTCTACCCCAGCTGCATGACTTTGGATATTATGGAATTGCTTGGTAAGAGGTGGTACAAAAAAGTGACCAGCACTGCTGGATCCTTATGCCTTCAGAAGCAGTTTTCATAGAAAACTTGCCAAATAGTTCCCTGAGCAGCATGAAGTCTGCTTTCCCCATATCCAGTGTTAATGTGGCACTTTTTCTCCTCTCACCAAAGATTGTATGTTCACCAATCTCATGGTCACTATGGCCAAAACAGCCTCCAGTCACCATTTCACCCGTGAGACCTTCTCTGCTTACAAGCAACAAATCTAGGAGGGCACCTTTCCTAGTTGACTCCCTTGGTATCTGTAACGAGAAGTACTACCAAAGACATAAAAATATTTGTATCTCTGAAAGATCTCAGTCTTATCCATGAAATCTCCCTCTTTTTTATACTGGTCTGAAGCACAGACTGATACTGAACATTTCAGGAACTCCTCCAACCTTTGTGAAACAGTTAAATTTACTTTGTGCAGAATATAAATGACATCAATTTTGAAAGGTCAAGGTATGAAATATTATGTTATTGCAATACATTTACTGTACCCACTAACTCTCACCATCTGTACATCACAGACATCACTGAACTACCACATTTTCTCTGAAAAAAAAAAGAAGAAAGGTCTTCAGAAAGCAGTATTCTCTCAGAATCTTGCAATCCTTAGAAGTTTGTTCTCTTTCCAAGGAACAGTTATAAAAGAGGTAAGGTTTAAGGCCCCATCAGAGCTGGGTAAATAACTTTTTGTGTAAAGTAAATGAATTCTGGGGGCACTGAAACTTGGGAACTTGGGGTACTATCCATACATAAATATCCACTCCAGAAACAGAGAGTGGTGCAAATTTAAAAAAGCCACAATATTTAAGTTCCCTGTTTCCATTTTCAATGAAATTTCTCAATTTGAAAGCACTGGATATTCTGCTATGGTATCTTTTAAACAAAATATTTGAAATCACGTTTTTAAATACCACTCCCTTTGTTTATTGCAATAAAATAATCAAAAGGTCTTTGGAAAGTTCCAATATGTACTTCCCCAAATCCTCAGACTATATATGTTTTTTCTCCTCTAAACAAAACTGATTGTTCTTCAGATGACTTTCTCATGGTGTGTAATATGCTGGGCTGCTGCTTGCACTACAATTGAATTTACTTTTTAGAACATTTTCTGAAATATGCTTTAAAGATAATTCATTTGACCTAAATATTATCTAAATCCCTGAGCCTGTTGCCTCCTATTGGCCAGCCCAAGGCCCTCAGAGACATCAAAATCTTAACTGGAGATTAACTTGTTTGAAGGTGGTCCTAGATTTATTTCAATTCATTACATTGACCTTTAGAGTATATATAGCAACTAATGCAGTGCTTGTCATGTGTTTTTTCTTGGTTCATTTGCATCTTTGCTAAGTGAATAGGAATATTTAGAGGAATATTTTCTGAGACTGCTTATTGAACCATGATACAGGTGAATTTTTTATCATGAGCACACATTTCTTATGTCATACAGAGAGGTATGACAATGATGCTGTTATAAAGAGGAAGGGAACAGATCCAAGTTATATATTCAGAAAATATTGCAGAATGCCTGTTTGTTTTGTTTTTGTGGTGTTGTGTTGTGCTTGTTTGCAAGCTTGGACAGATCAGTAGCTCTGTGAGAACGTTTCTTTCTATCAAAGAGTGACTTCTTGCTTATGACTTCTTGCAAGCTAAGGGATAGTAAAGCGTGGCCTCTGTGCCAGCTGCACCACTTTTCTTCCACAACATCCAGAGAAAATATGCCTGTATTACCACAGGCTGCCATCAGTCAAGTTTTAGTTGCTGTAGTTCCTTTAGCTAACATGTAGAATATGTTCTCACAATGTAATTACCAAGCTCTGTCTTGCTAAGGTAGAGAAATGTCAATGTTTTTTGTGTAATGTTGGAAAGATCTGTGAAGAGATATTCTTCTTCCTGTTGAGCTTCTACATCAAAAACATCACCACACTGTAATTCAGGGTGATGCAATGCAATGTGCCATAACTTCACCAAAAAGTTAGTCAAGGAAGTAAGCTCAAAGTGACATAATTCACTTTCAAATATTTATTTCAGTGTATAACTTCTGTTCTTATTTGTAGAAATGAATATGAGCTCCATATCTAACTTCAGGTATCCAAAGCGACATGTTCCTTAACATTCCTTCCAAGCCCATACCCAGTAATCCTCACACAAAGACTGACCCATACTTCATTCTTGGTTTCCTCTCCTATGAGGATAAGCTGAGGGAGCTGGAGCTGTTCAGCCTGGAGAAGTGAAGGCTCCAGGTAGAGCTGAGGGCTGCCCGTCAAGTATCTAAAGGGGGTCTACAAGAAGAAAGGGGACAGACTCTTTACCAGGGTTTGTTGTGATAGGACAAGAGGAACTGTCTTCTAACTAAAAGAGGAGTTATTTAGACAGGATATAAGGAAAAGGTTTTTTACAATATGGGTGGTGAGGCACTGGCACAGGTTGCCCCAAAAGGTGGTGGATTCCCCACTCCTTGAGACAGTCAAGGTCAGGTTGGATGGGGTTCTGAGCACCCTGATGTATCTGTAGGTGTCTCTGTTCACTGCAGGGAGTTGGACCAGGTGACCTTTAAGGATCCCTTCCAACTCAAATGATTCTATGATTCTATCACCAGCCCATTTTCCTTTCTCCTTACATCATTCTCATGGCTGGAATCTTAGCTTAGTTAGGTAGATAGAGTTGTCAGGGATTTACAGAAATGTGTGAACAGTTCATGGCAGCACCTACCCTATATCAATATTCACTGCAGATCAGCTGGTAGGAATCCCACCTGGAAGTTTGCAATGACTAAACTGTAAGAGTTGAACTTATTTATTTTTCTACCCACATTATGCAGCTGACAAATCTGCATTTTATGAATACAAAAACCTATAAAGTAAAGAATGAGTGTTTGATCTTGACTTTATTTTCTGTGACTATGTTTCACTGTAAATTTAGGATCTAAATGTTCCATTTGAATCCAGGCAAACACAGATTTTTTTATTATTACAGAAATTCTTTTCCTACACCTTGATCTACTTACTAGTCCTGGAAAGACTTTTTATCTGAAAGGTATTCATTTTTAAGTGAAAATGTATTCATTTAGTACATAGAAAGACTCCTAATAAATGTTTTGTTTATGAATCTGAAAGTAGGTCACCTTGTAGGAACACTTTCAGATGGTAAAACATCCCAAATGTCCAGATATCACAAATTCTTGATCTATCTGGTAGTTCTCATTGTTATTTCTTGTCCATTCCTCTCTAATTCTGGCTAGAAAACAACTCTTCTTCTTTGAATACCTCTCCAAACATGGCACTATTCCTCATCTAATCTACTGTGAACATGGCAATGGCACAAAAAGTGTAGCATGGCTGGGAGCATCTTGCAGCACCATTCATGATTCTTTTATCTCAAGATTCTCATTTCCTAATTTTGTTCCCCCATTTCCTGCACCCATATTGTGACAACCAGCTTCAAAGAAAACTTGAGGCTACAGATTTGTCTCTCCCCGATACTTACATGAAGATCTGAGGATAAGAGGAACTTCTCTAAGAGAACAGACAGGAGATTCTGTAGTAACAGAAGTGTGTGAACAGTGAAACTCTCCTGGTAAAGCTTCGATAGGACTCATTATGCAGACAGTATAAACTATTACAGGAAAAAAGGAAAAAAAAAAGAGAAAAAATATATCTGCCTGAGCCAAAACAAGAAGTGCATCGCTGAAGCTGTGTATTATGCATGAGGTATACAATGCTGTTGAAAATTGATTTTTTTTAATGGTGCAAAGAGAACTAGCATAGAGTGAGATGTGATTTTAAATTCTTAGCCTAATATCATTGCTAATTTTAATTGCTATTAGAAGAACCTTGTTTTCCTCTAAGGCATTATGTAAAAAATCATTCCAGCCCAAATATGCATGGGAAATGTTCAAAAGCCATTAGAAAACAAACAATGAACATGAAAACAGCAGCAGTAAATTAGCCAATATCCCTGGCTATGAAGCCAAGATGTGGCTGTTCAGCTATCAAGCAGGCGTTAACAGATGACAGATAAGTAATTATTCAACAAAGTTGGACGAAAAACACTTAAAAGCATCCAAAAAATCATGCAAAATAACATCTGAAATTTGATGAACGAGAAAAATTACACATAGCATAACAGCATAATTTCTGTGTAATATTCTTAATTATGAAATATTAACATTTCAGCATCTGAGGTGTTAATGGCTGTTTGGAATCCCATTTCTGACACTGAGTACCGCACATTTACATATAGCTGGATCTGTACACAAGTCTCCAGCCTGTGCTGAGACTCAACTTTGGCACAGTGCCTTGTGGGAAAAGCAGCACAAAGGCAGTTGCTTTCTGTACCTTGCCTGGACACCTCTCTGCACAGTCAGGGCTGCCCTGTATAAGAATAGTGTCAGCCAGGTGCTCTTACCACCTTGCAGGAGATGACCATCACATAAAGGGTTTTTGATGGCACATCCTTCTACTTCCCTGACCTGAGGAAAGCCTTGTTCACTGCTGAAGGGAGAAAAATGATAGATTCTGTGGGTGCTCCCATCCCTGGAAGTGTTCAAGGCCAGTAGGATGGGGCCCTGGGCAGCCTGATCTAGCTGGGGGCAGCCCTGCCCATGGCAGTGGGATGGCAGTGAATGGGCATTAAGGTCCCTTCCAACCCAAGCCTTTCTCTAATTCTCTGATTCTCTGATTCTGAGATTTTCTGACACTACTGAAGGACAACAAATGGGATTCTGAAAGCGGTGCCTGCAAGAAGATAGTGGCACACAGATGAAAGGCAGCATTTTGTAATGGCTGGGAATTTAAACACATCCAACCAAAATATGCGAAGCTTTAAGCAAAAAGGAAAAATTCTAGTTTAAATAATATAGAAGTAATTGGGATTCAACAGTGAAAAAAATACTACACAGCTAAACTAGAACTGGCTAAACATGCAAGTAGAGCTGGTGTAGCTCTTTCGTAAGGCTTACAGACTGAAATGCCTTCTTCATAAGTATGCACTGCAAAGTGTCTTACCAAGAGAGGGTGTAAAGAAGTGGGAGAAAAAGTGTACAATACAGAGTAGGACTCAATAGCCAAGGTATTCTCTAATAAAGGACTGTCCTATATTAAATACTCATAGAGAACCATCCAAAATAGACAGATTTCATGGCAATTTGTAAATCAATTACTTACTTGTTAACGCTGCTGTGAGGACCGCTTTGGACATTACACAGATGCCCAAAACAATCAAATTGAGTTCAGTAGTAGAGAAGTGCCCACAGCCAAGCAAACACATGTGCCATGTGTAGAACAATTTCACAAAACAAGTAACTATATAGAATCAATTTAAAATCAGTTAATTTGAAGTAAAAGTGCAGCTTAAAATATCCCAGGAGATAGGCAGGTGCTAGAACAGTTGCCATATATGCTGTGTTTTGAGTGGCAGGAACAATTTGGTTACAACAATTGCATTTTAATTAGTAACAAATCAAAGATCTGTAATAACTTATGTGAAAGACGTAACTACAGACAAGAAGAACAAATCCTGGCCTTACAGCTTGAGCAGAAGTAAGTGAAAAGCAGAAAGTATTAGTCATAGCACTTACAACACTTACTTTGAAATATTTGATGGTGTGAGAACAAAACTGAATATTGGCAGAAACATTTCTTTTTGGTCTTATTGAGCAACACAATTATTTTGTGTGTGTTTAAAAGGATGGAAAAATGTTTGAACTGAGATACAATATTCTTAAGTCATGAAAAAAAATCTGATTTATGCCTTTTATCATTAAAACATTATGTGGATATAAATAAGGACCGTGATTGGCAGTGGCTCGAAAATAAGTCTGCTGTTAACTCATTAATTAACTGCATCAAGTACTCGTTTGGAATTGTAGCTAAGTATTTCAGAATGGATCTAATGACATTACTTTCATTGTTTGATGCAGATATACATATTTTACCCCATGCCTCATCGCTCAGATTTTTGCATATTTTATAGGAATATAAGATTGGAAGTCCTCCTCCCCTTTAGTCACTAAATACATTCCCTGCTAACTGAGACGACCACGTGTATAGTTTGCTACCATTCTGTTATTATTAGATACATCAGACAGCTTCCTTTTTCTTTTCTGGTTTTTTTTTCTTTTTAAACAAACTTGTCCCAAGAAGCTCTGTAAATCTCATTATGTTAAGTGCACTGCCAACACTCATCAACAAAGGGGAAAGACATACGATAAAAACAAAAACAGCTATCTTTTAACCACATGTAAATTCCTGACATGACTGAAGTCGATGGGTACTCTGCCATTTGTTTGAGATTTCACCCTGCAATTATAGAAAGAAGGTGTTCCCACTCATTCAGGCTTTCCTCATGGAGCCATAGAAGCATAAAAGGAAGGATGGGATTATAAAGCTAGGTTCATACAAAGGGTTCGGGATTTACACACTGAGTCTGAAACTCACCTACCTGATGCCTTCACTTAGCAGCTCTTCACTCCAGAAAGCCCACAGTTTCCAGGCTCCTAATTTGTGCCTGTTCTGGGATGCACCAAGAATTACTTACACACTCAAAGGGAATTCCCAAACCATGAGACTACCACTGTATTTTCTTCCTTGTGAGACCTTATAAGACTGATGTTCTTAGACCAACAACAACAACAAAAAAAGCTGTTTCTTCTACAAAATTAAGGAAAAAAAGTATCTTTTGTCCTTACCTTTTAATGTCCTCATCTTTTATGCAAAATTTGCAGGTTGAATTTCTCATCCAGGATATACGAGATTCAAGGTTAAATCTCAAGAAGGTTTGATCAACCTCACCCCCTTACCAAGGGAATTTATTATCACCATGTCTCAAACAAGTCAGAGTGAACCTCAATTAGCCGTCTTAACTGTCTTCACTTTGCATATCGTAATTCAGGAGGAGTTCAAAGCCTGGAAAGATCTGAACAGTCCTAAGTCCATTCAGCTGTTTCATACAGTATGCAAAAATGTGAAGAAGAAACTACAAAACCTGGACTCAACTCTCCCAGCACCGCCACCTCTGAAGATGAAAGAAACGAGTTTGAATGCAACAGTGTCCACATCATTAACTCCACATCATTAAGTTGCACTGGCTCTTCTTCTTACCTTCATTAGGGATTTGTGAGAAAGGGAGACTCCAGTTTCAGGAGAGAGATACTGACATTGGAGAACCTTAATGAGTGAGATTCGTGCTTACTTGGGATTTCTTACCACCACTGTGTGTTGATAGGTGGGTCCCATGGACCCCACTCTTGCATACCTCACTCTCCATATACATAGCACAACTGCCTAACTGTTGAAGTCTCTGCGTTGAAAAAATGGTCCCTGAAAATTCTTCAGTTGATGGTGGACTCCCAGAGCATAGTGATGCACTGGAACGGGCTGCCCAAGGAAGTTGTGGATGCCTCATCCCTGGAGGCATTCAAGGCCAGGCTGGATGTGGCTCTGGGCAGCCTGGTCTGGTGGTTGGTGACCCTGCACATCGCAGGGGGGTTAAACTTGATGATCATTGTTTTCAACCCAGGCCATTCTATGATATGATTCTATGACTCCGGTACAGAGAATAAAAGAAAACAGAAAATAAAAAAAAAATAGATTTCCTTCCTTGCCTCTAAAATTATCAATCTTACTGATCTAATGGGATATAATAATGCCAGTGTGAAACTGGACAGTTCAAGTATTTTTCTGGGAAAGTTATACTTCTGGGACTTGCATAAATGTTTTTGCATTCAAAAAAACATGGAGCTGAGGAAGTATTTTGGACTGAAAACCAGTATTTCCCATACACAGAATAAGTCATAGAGACTCTCTTAGCCAGATGCAAAACAAGCAAAATATATCAGCTGGGAAACTTGTTTGAACTGACAAGTTAAGGTAAAAGATGCTTGTGTTTGTTGTCTTCTGAACACAATAAAAGTCTTTCAGTTTCATGTGAGCAGATACTGGTTTTCTCATTTCACTGTGTTATGCATTTGTAGTGCTGAGATCACTTTCGCACAGCTGTCTCATGGGCAGAAGAAGGAGCGCACAGTCTTCCTCTTCATGAGTTTTTGTTTGTTCTACAGATGTAACACTTTAAACTGAAAATCTCCTTCATTACACCTGAACTTTGTGTCCCATGATTTTATCTCTGGCCGTGGACATCTTGGCTCTTGATCTTCTCTTTGTATCTTAATTAAATGGAAAACAATTACTCAGAGGAGCTGGTTATCTGGAAGGTTTCCATACAGAGATCTGAAAACAGAAGTTTCTTCTTCAGCCTGGCTCTCGTTTCTATTACTTCAAGGCACAACTGAGATGAATTATTTTCTGTTCTCTGCCCATCAAACCGAACTCAGGGGTACAACAGCCTCATGTAGTGTTACCTGCACTGGCACACACGGACTGCTACAGTGGTTACAAAAGTCAGCAGAGCAAAACTTGCAGTGAAAAACTGACAAGAGCACTCTTACACACAAAGCACTGTTCCAGGGACCAAGGAGTTCTCAGCATAGCAAAGAAATTTGACAAACTACCTATCTGTGCTTAATTAGCAGGTCATTTGTTTTCCTCATCAATCAATCCTTCCCAAGCTGTACTTCAAACAAAAAAAAACAAACAAGTTTCTGTTACTGTTTTATTAAATGATAGCTCTTGAATGACTATTTCTTCAAGACAACTATTGAGGCAGAGGTGATTTATATGATACAAATGTGAGGGCATTCCCTAAGCGTGTTGCATTTATTTGGTACAGACATATGCCTCATTTGAACACTTCTGAATGCTCTTAAGCACTTACAGAAACAAGGAGGGGTATGTTTTCTCAAAAAGTAAAAAAAAAAGAAAAGCTGTAAGCCTGTATTTCCTTATTGATGAACCAGAAGTTGCAAAACTGGTTCAGTGCAGAAGACTAAAAGTTATTTGCCTTCCATTCTGTACAGAAGGTCCTCCTTATAACCAGGCGCAGTGACAGCTGGCTTTCTGGACTGAAGAAAACTGCTCGGTCTCCTACGGATCCCAAGAAATGTTTGTTTTCCTACCCGTGGATGTTCCCTGCCCCTCTTGACTGTCTCTGCCTGAGATTCCCTGCTCCTCTCCCCCGTGCTCCAGTTGCTGGAACTGTTGCTCTCCAGCTGTGCCCAGATGTTTCCACAGGAAGGATCCATCTTCCTCCTCCTCCAGGAAATCACTCTGACTCCAGTGCCCTTTTACCTTTAACCCAACATGCAAGCAGCAAGCAAACAAAACAGGCAGACAGTCCATAATGGTCCACTGCTCTCTGTCAATATTTTTCAACTTGTACCGGAAGAAGAGAGAAAAGCGTGACAGGAAATAAAACAAATAATTAAAGGATGTTACAAACTGAAAAGGAAGCTGAGCATTAAATGTCCAGAGAAACCCGTTCATTCGTCTGGCAAAGGACAGAAATGTCAGCCATCCCCAGATTTGCAGCATCTCTTATGCCGTGAGTGTTACAGGTCAAGTGAAATAAAGGTTGCCATATCCCGGTACAGCAGATGCATTCATGTTCCCACTCTTCCTGTATCTCTCAAGGCGAAACAGAGGCCAGCAATAAACTGGGCTCAGAAGGCCATCAAATCCTCACTCTACCTCTGACTTTAATTACTGGCAGGAGCTCCCTTTCATCCACGGGAAGGAAGACAGTGTGTTGCCCAGAAAAGATGAATTACCCCTTTCTGCTTCAGTGGGCCCTATGAGCACCACACCCAATTGGCTCTTGATATACCGACTTTCCAAGTTAAACTCCTAAACTCAATCTTAATTATGCTCAGTTGGATCTGGCCTGTAATTATCATCATGTCTTTTTAAAATCGTTCTTTCCACACCACGGTAGACCTTCCTAATAAACTACTTTTTAAGCTTTAGATTTCTAGCCCTAAATTTGCTACCAACTCTGAACGTAAGCTTAATTATTAGTAGGAGCACATTTTAGTAGAACAGAGAATATGAAAAATTTTCCCTTATATTATTTAATAATTTTAAAGTCATTCTTTTATAGCAATTACTAATATTAAAAAATTACATATTACTTATTGCCTATTGCTGTCTTTGTAAGTCATACAAAGTGTGCATCCTAATGCAAAATCTAATTATATGAATGAACTGAAGGAAATACAGAAGTAAATGAAAATATATAACACTGACCAATCCAATTGTCTTCCCTATTTGTAATTAGATCTTTATCTAATTTGCAATTAGATAAAGATGGTTCCTTTAAAAATTAAACCCAAAACTTTAACACCAGCTCCAAACCTAACGTTAACATTAATGCCAGCAGTGGATACAGCAAGGAAAAACTAAACAAAAGTTTATTTCCATAGAGAAACATGTCATCCCCACATTTCCCTAGTCCCTGGAGAATCCAACAATAAGTTGGAGTCAATAAACTTCAGGTTCCCAATTCCTAATACTACCCTTAGCCAGCACACCTGTATGAATTGAGGTAGACTGTGTAGAGCCTTGATCTTTCCAAAAAACTACCCACTTCCAAGTCTTTAGGAATAATGAAATACAACCATGGCCTGGGCTCTCAGCATGCCTCTTAACCCAAAACCTAATTTTGGTGCTAAACTCAAAGCAAGGCAGAGCTTTAACCTAATCTATAGACCACCACTAGACCTAAACTTAATAATACACGCATACATATTTTAACATATAAACTATAACATATTTCCCTTTATCATCCCCTGTTGTCCCATCTTCTAAGCTCTGCAAGACACGGATAATACATTAAAAGCTGCAGTCATGAAAATGAAAATGTGGTTCCAAACCCTATCTCTGGCTGTAATTATTTTCAGAGTTAATCACATAATGATAGAAATATCCAGTTTCTTCCCTATCATTACTTGTCCTGTTCCTAACTTAGGCCAACAGAATAAAGAATTCAGCAAATGTCCTTAACACACGAGTTCCCAAACCCCAGCTCCAACACTTGCACTAATTGAACAAGCAGATAGTAGATGTGGATATAGAGCATTCACTCCTTTCAGATGCTGCCCTCTTCCTGATGCTCCACTCCCCCGAGGAAACCAAAAAAACACCTCTTCTTTTCCAGAGTTTCTCTTACATTCCCAAACTGCAGCTCAAAATGCATCTTGATGTTTAGTGTTAGCTAGTACACCCCACCAAGCACTGCCCTTTGTGGATTGTTCCCCTCTGGAGCTGTGGGCCTCAGAACCTTTATGCTCAGACTCTTACAAAACCTTATCCCACCCTCCAATTATTTCCAGTAGACAAATGCGCAGACCGCAGATTTGTTTCCACAGATTAATCCCAGCAAATCAAGAAAAAACGGCCCCATTAATGAAGATTAATGAGATCTTCATTCTCCTCCCACCTATATGGGACCTACAGAATATTGCAACATGCCTGGCTCCTGGATCTGCAGAAACTCTGCAGTTAATCCCAGCACTGATTCTACACAGTGGCTGAGATCTGTATCCAGGGTAAAAAGACCCTTTCAAACGTTCCCTTTAGTCAGCATTTGTCCTCTTCCCAGTTTTGAGGAACTTAATAGTTTTGTACTGGCCATGTTTACAGAAACATTGAAAATAATAAAGTATTGCTTTTCCCAAGTTTAACTGGGATTTAGATAAGAGTGATTTAATCTTTTTTGGCAAACATTGTTTTCCCTGATCATTCCTCTGGAGAGTCTGTGCAGTGAACACCCCATCAGAATCAGCCGGATGGGGAAGAAAAATATTTTCAACGAGTGAATTTCACAGAAAATTTGATAACAACCAAAATCGACTTCTCCAACTACAATTCCAAGAAACATATTTTCAAACATAAATTAAGACAGTGCTCTAAAAGCACACCGTTTCTATGCCGTAAATTTGAAAACCCTCTTTCAGTGAATCATCGAATCATTAAGGTTGGAAAAGACCTCTGAAGTCATCCAGTTCAGTTGTCAGCCCACCCCCAGCATGCCCAGTGCCCACGTCCCTCAGTGCCACATCTACATGGTTCTTTAACACCTCCAGGGACGGTGACTCCACCACCCCCCTGGGCAGCCTGTTCCAATGCCTCAGCACTTTTTCTGAGAAAAGAAGTTTTCCTAACATCCAACCTGAACCTCCCCTGGTGCGACCTAAGGCCATTCCGTTTGTCAAAACTGATAAAAAGAAAGTATTACACAAAATCTACTCCACTGTTTGCAGGTTGATTTCCGCAGCAGCAGCAGCAGCAGCTGAGGTTTCAGCGCTGCCATTTCAGTTCCATACTTGATGCAAGTTCCCCACCTAGTGGAGTAATTCCTAACGCTTCTCGAAATGATTGCACTTCCTCACATGTCATTTTTATTTCTGATTCACTTCAGGGGTAATAGCAACAGTTTCCTTACACAGTGTTTCATAAATATTTAAGCTAGATAGTAAGTTCTTCCAAAATTAAAATTCGTTTCACACAGCAACTGAAATATTTATAATACCTTTGGAAAACAGAAG